ACATAAAGTCATGCACTAATTAAAATAAAATAAAATAAAATAAAAGCTTATTGTCACTATAGCCACTATGGCCACACATCTACTGATTTAGTTACCCATATAAACGTGGTAATACATTTAGAAATGGATAATTGGGCCCGAAGAGGCTCCACATACATGGAAATGCTGCGCTCCACCTCTGGGCTGGAGCTGGTGCTTCACGTTGGCGCAGGAATAAATTTTAATTAATTCTGATTCATTTTTATACTGTAAATGTAAACACACATGCAGTCAGTGAGATGAATTTATTAGATCGTATAGAACCCAGAGCTGAACGGAAATATATATATTTTTAATATCAATACTATGAGCGCAGTGAGCTTATTGTCTTCTGCATACCTTGTTTCCAGTCTAGATGTAATATCAGCTACCTCCAGTCACCTACGCACAGCTGGATTGCACTTTCCTTCTGCCCTCATCTATGTCTTTTGAATATTCTTCCTCTGTGGCAATCTGCCATGCTGGAGCTCAGACCTTTCCTGGTGAAGAGGTGTTTTTACAGCACCTCCGATTTGCACTATGAAGCATAACAACCTATGCTACTCTATGCTCCTTTAGTAGTTTACAACAAAATATGTTATCACATATAATCTTTCCTATATGTTTTCCTCAATATATGTCTCAGTCTGCACTGCTGTACGTCTGTTCGTTTGTTCTTTCATTCCCATTTACAATCATTTTTTTTTAGCAGAAGTGCAGCCACTGTATCCTAAATCAGAGATACATTTGGATAGAAAAACAGAGCACAATAAGGTCTGGTGTTTTTAATCAATTATTTATTCAATATTTTAATGATCAGAGTGCCTGGGGTGATCAAAGGCAAGGTTCGAGCTTCACTGCCTTTGCTCGCTAAGACATCCCTCAGTACTTTGATGTGGTTCACCAACAAATGCACTCATCTTAAGCATAAGTCTCTCTCTCTCTCTCTCTCTCTCTCTCTCTCTCTCTCTCTCTCTCTCTCTCTCTCTCTAGTTTGAATTTGAGTGCTCTGAAACTACTATTTTTAAAGGAGTAGATTCAAGGGGAAGGTCACTGACCAACCAATACAGAGGAGTAAAAAAAAGGGAAATAAAACTGACACATTTACCGTCTCCAACAATTACAACTACTATTTTGAATGTCATGTAAATATGAAACAAGCTTAGGTCACCTTCTCAGATACTACACGCACGTTATCATATATTTAATTGGTTGGCAAGGTCTCCTGCGATGGAAAATATGTCMAAAAATCATGAATAAAACATTACTTGGGTAAGAAACAATGGCCTGATGGTGGTTTCAGGGAGAAAAAAAAAGGGAAGTAAATGACCAGTCATGTAATGCAAATGAGAAACTTGTCAGGCAGATCTCAGAGATGATGGTGTCAAACATGCAAAAAACATCAAGAAAAAAGTGAGAGAAGTCATCAACTTCTCTTTGTTTCCAACAGACATATAGACTGAAACAAGCAGTGCTGGTAAACCTTGTGGGAGTAAAACTATAAATGTTTTGTCTATATTATTAGTTTTGCATTGTGGTTATTATCCAATAGCAGAGACATGTAAAACAGACAGCTGCCATCTTGAAAAGACTACATCATCAAAGATTTGATACGTAATCGGTCATACAAATTTTAGTACCTAGTCAGTTGTTCTCTTTTGCTCAGTATCATTAAAAAAGCAATTTTGTAATTGCCTCTGTCTGTTTGTTCGTTTGTCTGTTATAAAATATGGATGTTCATCAACAGCTGATTCACTTTTGGAGCCAACCTTACTAAAGATGGCAGCTAGAATTCGTTGCAGTTGTAGCTGAGACACAAACATTTAACAAACAGAACAAGTACCTCTGTTTATAACTGTTCAGCAAGTATCACATCGGCAGGTTTTTTTTTTTTTTTACTGAGATCTTAATCTAWTTCTGCCTTCAAACAGAGCAGTTACATGTTACAAAACAAGTTGTGCGTGATTTGACAAAATTTACTTTAAAACACACCTAAATGGTAATAATTCTTACCAGTAAAACAAGGAGCTKTGAGCAGAAAACAAACATCATTTTTTGTGTCACTTAGTTGCAAATTCATTTCCATACCAAACAAAAGGGAAGCAAAACGATCTTCAGTTGGGACTTATTTTTTGTCKACTCATTTAGTATCACGATGCTGAAAAGAGTTTTTATTCAATAAAAAYGCCTGGTGTTTCCTGCCAAGCGATGATAAGACACATTATCCAAGCTTGTTATTTAAACAGCTTGATAATTTATAATTATTTTGTTCCCACATAAATACAACTCTTGTCTCAACACCAATATATAATCATATATAATTATTTATACAGTTCAATGCAATTAATATCTAGTAATGTGGTATGCTGTTTGGCCTCTTTGGACACTTTATATTTAATTGACTTCACTTGTTTGCCATAAGGAATTAGTTTGTGTTTGGTGAATATTTTTTGATTGTGTCTATCTATTCAGCAACAGCATCTTCTGATGAACAATTATGGTGGAAAACTTTGTTGACATGAACTTGTTTACTGGTGGCTGTTTTACCGTTTTACCACCATGTCAGACGTCTTGGCTTCACCCCTGTCTGCCAGATTCCTTCTGTTTCCTCGTAAATAAAGTCAGAATTTCTGATTATTATACACAGTACAAAGAAAGCTAAATTGCTGATTAAAAATTAAATACTCTTATCTCACTGAGAGTTATCTCAGTCCCCAGAGAGAGGATGCTATTTTGCAGGCTTGCGGGTATCTTTTGTTCCCAATTTAGAAGCTTGTCGTTGTTTATTGTTAATTTTTGATGCTTCATTTGATATTCTGTTCACTTTCCTCTCTGAAATGCAGGGAAAAACATCTTTATCATGYTGTCAGTTGCATGCAGTTGTCGTGTGCCTTGTGTTGTAAGGMTGTCAGGTTTGCCTTATTCTTTACATTTCTGGAGTTTGTACTCTTCAGCCTGTTTTGTCRTTGAGCTAGCTGCGCTCCAAAGTGTGCAGTGCAAACTCTGCATTTGAGTAAAAAAAATCAATATTTATCCTAATTCTCAGTTCCAGCTTGAAAAAAAAAGACTTTAAACTCACAAATCTATAAGGTTGTCAATGGTGAACTCGAGATGACTCTAAGAGGGTTGAAACGTTCTCAGCAGAGTTTTCTGTGTTGAATCTAGACTTTTTTGTGGTAAAAATCTAAAAGGTTCCTGTCATGACAGTCAAGTAAAATGTCTGTTTATTTTTTTACTTTTTTGTCRTTTCAGGAGGCCTGTCAACTTGGCAAGATAACGTCTGTGAATGTAAGTATTATAATCGGCTCTGCACCTTCTTCCATTTGTTCTGCCATTAGCATCTGTTCAGCATGATGTCACCTTTATTCATGCCTGTTATGTTTCAAATTTATTTATAGTCATGCTGTATATGATCACTAGCAAGAAAAATACAGTACTTTTACCACAAAGGTCAGAAAGTCTTTTTAATATTATATCACTTTCTTAGTGTTTAACATTGTAATAAAATAAAAGAAAACCCTCAGTATTGTCCCAGTATTGGTTAAAATTAGAATGTTTTTCACTTAGAGCCAGCATATCCTAATATGTCTGCTAGATAAACTGTGTAGTACAAAAATTAACAGAGTATTAAAGATTTAAAAATGTGTGTTTGTACGAACCACTATATATATACTGTATATATATATATATATATATATATATATATATATATATATATATATATATACTAGCGTTATTTTAGGGCAGCAGCGATCCACTCTGGTCTGAGATCCTTTCTGACTCAGGTATTCGCTTTTAAATCCGGTTAAAATTATCTTTTTTTTTGTCATCAAACCTGAGGTTTTTTCAAAGTTCTATCTGTAACAGGTAAGATTTTATTCATAACCCTTTCACAGGCCTCCACTTCAAAAGATTTGAACTATTCCTTTAGGACACAAGGTTTTCTTGATTTGATTTCAYAGAATAAATGTGTTTCTCGTGTTTCAAACTGATTCCTATTCAAGTCTTGCACACGTTAAAAAAAAAGACAAGATAAACAATATTTTCAGTGCGTGTTTTGTGTTTGAGTATCATCAACTAAATCTGTACAAAGAAGAATCCACAGCGGGATTAAAAAGGCTCAAAGAAAGAAAAAAAAAATATATAATTTAGATCTATTTTAGTTGCATTTGCTTTGTCATTTTAATTAACATACGCAAATGCTAAGTTTTGTTAAGTAAAAATATGTTAAGAYGCTGTTAAAATTGAACTGAAACATCATTAACGACCATTTCAGCTATAGTGTGATTTTGTGTGTGTTTTACTTAAGTCTTGGGTGTCAAACTCATTTTCTTCAAAGGCCACATRAGCATTATGGTGGCCCTCAAAGGGCCAGTTGTAATTAACTTCAATGTTTAATGTTCAACTTCAACTAAACAATAAATTTCACGTTCCTCATCTCGTTGCACTGTGTTGCTGACAAACAATAATTGAGCTCTACGTGGTATTTCCAGCATAGAAACACTGTTTAAATGCTTCCTTTTAAAAACACTGAAAATGGAAAATAAATATTACAGAAACAAAAGTATGATAGTTTCACTCACTGTTGAGTTGGCGTGAGTAGCAACTACTTGATTTCTGAACTCTTCCACTTTCTGAAAGAATTCTCACTAGAAGGGTGTTCCGATTTAAATTTATGACTTGTAAGTGGGCAATTCCCACTTCCCAGTACAACTGGGTTGCAGCAAAAGTAGCAAAAATTGAGCAAAATGGAGCTTTTACTTGGTGAATTTTACCAGCTTCCAGCAGCTTTTGAGCCCTGTACACCTCCACCTATAGTGGCAGGATGATTTCTTTGTATGAATAAAATAATCAACACGCTTTAAAGCATCATACACTTATTTTAAGACATTATTTTATTTAATCATTATTTGAAGCTCTTGCAGGCCACATAAAATGCTGTGGTGGGCCACATTTGGCCTGCGGGCCTTAAATTTGGCATGACTTAAATGTAACATGAATAGGGTTAAATATCGGTGGATTTTTTTAACCCACACTGCATTAATGGAGTAAAATAGAATATTACGCCTCAAAATTAACAGCATATCAACATCACAGCTTTTTACTCTTCAAGTTTTTGCCCCCAAAGTTGGAACAGTGTAAATTATTACTGAATTGAACAAAAATGTGTTGACATTTAAACTTTCTAATTAGTAAATGTTTAACTGCTTCCTAGTTTCTCACTATTAAAGTAACATTAAACCCCACTGTGTTTTGACATCTGACTGTTTCACTCCTTTGTTCCTTTCCACTCATCTTTTTTCCATCCCCCTGTGTACGCATATTCTTATTTTCGCAACTAGTTGTCAATCTGGCAAAAATAAAAAAAAATAAATAAAAAAATAAAAAACCTGTAAAAGTACATCTTTTTCCTCCAGAGCACAAACTAACATGCTGCTCCAACTTTTATACAGAGGTCAGCAAAATTTTGCTGAATAGTTTGTTTGCTCAGCTTTTCTAGCTTTAGTTTTTTTTAGCACATTTCTCCAACTCTCTGATTTACTCAAATATTTTTGTGGTGTGCTGTGAATTTATGTTATAGTATTGTTATTGTTATTACCACCGACTCTGTCGAAGCTAATGGCTATTTTTTAATAAAGACATGTCTGAGTAAAAGCCTTGTTTGCTCATACTGAGAACAGAACTCCTTTTGTTGAACTTAGACTATCATCATCATCACAGATGACTCAGTTACAGATCGAAATGATGAAAATTCATTTGATTTGTCACAGTAATGTCAGCGCACTTGCAACAATCACCTCCTTCACTCATGTTCCTGCTAACTCATCAGCTCACAAGCAGACGCACATCACCCAGCACAGCATAGGCTGCAATGGAACAACATGTAGCAAAATAAATAAATAAATACAAATCTTCACCCACCCCCCTTAAGGAAAAAAAATAGCTGAAGAGATTTTTGTAGATGTTGCACAATCTTGACATCATACAAAAGAGACATGTGGAACGCAGCATTTTCGATTGAGGCATTGCCACTTCACTGTTTTTCCTCTCTCCACACATAAGACATGTGTGCTATAACAAATCACCGTCTCCTCGGAGCAGATTTATGCAGGTCTAGGTGTGCCCGCGAGCTGATCCTTATCTGAAATGGCAGAGCCAATCTCCCCTGATTCACTTCTAAGTGGTCCCTGTTTATCACTCACAGCGAGGTGGTTGTCAGCCGGGTCTTTTTCTCTGCAGCGCCGACTTCTTTGCTGTTTTGAGAGAATGAAAGTCAAGGTAAAGTACACAGAACAATAAAACTCAAAAGAGCTGCGGTTTAGGAAAGGGCGAGGTAGCGGCCACTTAGCCTCTCCCATCCTCTGCCTCAGCGTAACGGACTCCTAATCTAGTAACGAGTCCTGTCCCATCTGTGTAGCTACGGGAGATGATGGGGAATAGATTTTCTGGCTTTTCTGTAGGAGCACTTGGCATCCATCTCTCCTGTTTATTTTATCTTTTGTGTACATACTTCTAAAAGCGRTGTTTTGTCAGACGGAAAAAGGCCTTTGTTTGGTCTTGATATCTCTTACGGCAGCTTGTCTTTGCTTTATGGATTTCTGGCAGCTTTTTTAAATAAGTGATTGTGCCTGACAAAACACTCACCTTGACTCCTGAATGTTTGTTTGYCTCCATCGTGTTTGGCTCCCCATTTTAATGTTTTATTTACATCCATCTTTACCACACTGTGGGGAAAAAATATTTATTCAAGAACCATTGACAGTACTTAATCCTAATATTACAGATCTAAATTATTTGGTATTGAGCAAATAGTGAAACCAAATCAGGCATTTCTTTTCTTTTTTTATTTACCATCTGGCATGACTTTTAATAAACAGGAGTCTAAAAATGAAGACACTGCCTTAGGCAAAAATGATTGTGTCCTAATTGTCACATGCAGCTGTTTATTCAAACAGATTCTAGATATCATCGTTGAAGCAAGGTTTTATTTTATTTTATTTTTAAATAATKACTATCAAGTGGAGAAGGAGGCATGCTTTTTTGTGGCGCTGCCAACCCTGTGTAAGTGGGCCCTTTCTCTCGTGCTGGAACCTGGGCTTTGCTTTTGCAACGGGTCCTCTGGTAATTTGAGATATGGCTGCCAGCTCTGTTCGAGAACAAGTAGATGTTCAGTTGACTTAAAAGCGTGTGCAAACATGGCACACAGAGCTGGATTGTGTTGCCAGAAAAGGTGCCTGGCGCCTTTTGGTGAAGTGAAATGCATATGAAAGCAGATATTTTTGAAAAACWGTTTTTATTCTGGGCATTTTTAGAAAAAAAATTATTGTTTATTTTAATCTTTAAACCCAATACAACAAAAAAGTTTTTTTTCTTCTGAATTATTTTGTAAATAAACTGAAGGCTGTYAATTCTTCTCCTGTTTTGTTTTCCCTCTTTTTTCTCTCTTTTTTCTTATTTTTCATTTGTCACTTCTTACCAGCACTTATAAATGAACACAGAGATTTATGGCCTCAGGATCTTAATGAATCAAGTAAATAGAATATTTAGCTGGCTGTTTTAACACCACGGTTCTGAAAGCCACTCAGTCAGGCTTTCAGGGTGCTAATTGTGTGGATTTTGGTTAGTCAACCCTCCCTGATAGTTTTTAAATGAACCTCTTTGTGCTCTTCAGTTTTGGCAGTTTGTCCTTCATCAGAGACAGAGTTTACTTTACTCTTCTTATTCTAGGTTCTTTCATTTTTCCCAACCTCTTTTGTCCTTATCAAAGAACAATATCTGTTTTTTATCTACGCACTGTAGTGGCTGAGGGGAAAATATGTGAGAAGAGAAACATCACCTCCCCCTGAGCTCAAAGAAGCATGTGTTAATGATGTTTTTAATTCAGGACCTGCATATTGCTTTAGTTGCTATAGCGATGATGAAAATTAAGGTAGTCATTTGTGCACCAGTTGTGTTTGCTTTAAAAAAAARAGACACTCTTATCAGTTTGAATAATGGATTGAATAAAATTCACTGCAATAACCAAAGCTGAGGGCGTGATAATATTTTATGTGTTTTAGTGTACAGTGTGATACATTGTGATGGTAGCCAAGGAATCGCGTACTAATGAATACTAGCCGTAGCCTCGTACGACTGTGACAGGACTGTTTTAGCTGTTTTAACCTCAAAGCCAAGTCAGATTATCTGTCGTCTTATTTTCTGTGTCCAGCTCAAACGTGARCAACATGAAGTCAGTATGAATGTCTGTAATCGTACAGTTTTGCTCTCTGCAGAACTCGGGTGTTGAA